CATAACCAAATAAATAATGTGACCGGTAAATCACTTTGCATATTTGGGTAAACTAACTTCCGGTGGAAGGCCTGCGGCCCTAGAGATTTGCTCCTTTCACATGACAAAAGACTGTAACGGGGCAACACCGTGACTTCACCCCACCCTTCTGCTTTGCTTCAGAAAAATACAAAAAAAAAAAGAACCAGCGCAGTTTTTTACATTGTATTGTTTGTCTAACAGTCTTAAAACTTGACTTTTTGCCATTGTTTTTAATATATCCACCTCTAGCGCCGAAACAGTGAAAGATACGGCAAATCGGAGGATAGTTCCTGATTCAGAATGTGTTGTTTTGGGGGGGTACTTCCTCTTCCATTTTACGATTGGAAGCCACCTAGTACGTCTTGATGGGCAACGTAGTCATTTTCTCCGTATTTCGGTCGAAAAAAGCACTCTAGCGCCCAAACGGTGCAAGATAGAGTCCAACGGACAAAATTTTCGCCCAAAGGGCTCTACTTTTACGAGTTACCCCTTAGGAGACCATAAAAAAAAAATTTTTTTCCTACTTTTTGGACCAACCCCTATTTCTTTGTTACCCCCTTTCACCCCCTTAGGGGTGGTTGCCAGGATTTGCACCAGGCGTTTCGTTGTCCAGGAGTGACCCCTAAGATACCCTGAAATTTTCAGACCTCTAGCTCATCTCCTTCCTCTTACACGGACGACGGACGGACGGACGGACGGACGGACGGACGGACGGACACGAGAGCGGTTGCATAAGCCCGCTTTAATGCTTTTTGGAAAGCAGAAGGGCGGGCTAAAAACTGCGCAGGTTCATTTTTTTTAAATTTTTAAGCAAAGCAGAAGGGTGGGGTGTAGTCACGGTGTTGCCCCGTTACAGTCTTTTGTCATTTCCAAGGAGCAAATCTCTAGGGCCGCAGGGCCCCCGCCGAACGCTTTAGTTTACTCAAATATGCAAAGTAATTTACCGGTCACATTATTTATTTGATTATGCACTTCAGTAAATCGCGAGACTGAAATAGTCGGGCCGAAGGCCCGACCATCGCCGCCGGCAGGCCAAGCAGGCCCGGCCCCTGCCGAACGGAGTTGCCGGCGCAGCGAAGTGGAGCTGGCAACTCCGTTTGGCGGAAGGGCGGGCCTGCTTGTTATTTCAATGAATTGACTTGGGCAGGTATGAACATCCCTATTACTCAAAGTGTTATTCGAATGCTAGGGAGTAGCACGTTTGGTGGGACATCAACAATTGCTAATTTATTTGATCCGTTCAATAATGATATGCTGAGTTGTGGCCAGAGCAGTTTCTATATTTTCCTTGGACAATTCACTGAATTTACATAAGTGACTATGACTAAGAATATATGAATATATATATTATTTACGGCAAAGTTAAATCTTACGCCTGTTTTCATTGAGATTTGGTTAATTTGTTTCATAATTTTACATCTAAACGAGCAAAACAACAATGCAACACGTACTCAACATTGGCACCATAACCTAGAAGTTGAGCATATCAAAATTTCCTGTTCGGCAACGACAACAGTGTAGTAAAACAGAAGAAGCATTAAAACAAAATAAATCTTAGCAACATTCAGAACCGAAAACTCGTGTCTCTACTCAATGAATAACAATCAAAAGGAAACACAACCAAACTTGTCAGACGGAATGATAACACACTCCGCACTCTGTCACACACACGTTCACCAACACTCATCATTGAAATAGATCCGTTTTCAAACTCACATTCTAACTCATATAACCCAAGTTTAACGAAACCACATGAGCATACTTTCATTTCTGTCGTTTCCCTTCATTTTCTTTCGCACTGAAATGGGAAATAGAAAAGTAAAATAGCAATGTAAGAGGAATCACCAGTTTTACATTCGTGTAGTGGCCCGATAGGATCTGGGAAGCCAACAACAACAAGGGGCAACAACAGCAACTAAAGCGTCGCAGACTGCCCCATTGGAGACCCCCCCCCCCCCCGCGATTATTGTTCTTCTCCTTCCGGTTTAGTCGAGCCCCGGAGTACCTTATTACCCGGCAGAACAGTAGGCGACGAACGATGGCGAGCGCGATAGACACAGGTGAATTATCACGGCCGTGGACACGGGTGGATGGTTCACGGGGAAGCCCGGCCAGCAGCAGATCGCCTAGTTTTGTGGATCAGGCGACTTATGTCCAGGGGCGGATCTGGCTCGCGGTTCTAGGGGGGGCAACAAATTGCGGGTTGCCTACTTTCAGGGGCACTTTTATGTGATAAAATAAAAATTAACTTATTTCCATAATTTTTATGATTTAAGGTCTGAAAATATTTTTTGGCGCACAGTAAAATGTCCCTTTTGATATTTATTTTTAAAGTTGAAGTACCGTCGTGTATACTTGAAGTTACAGAGCAGCGGGAGAGGGGTTTGCGAGCGAAGCGAGCGAAAATTATTGTACTTGTGCTTCTTTGGGTGGCAAATTTCACGCTCAAGTTTCGTATGAAATGTTTCAAACGAGTGCGAAAAGATTTCCGTAATTGTGCAAAGAGGAGCTGTAAGGCCGCGAGCGAAGCGAGCGAAAAGAAATTGAGGTAATAAGCGATCTATAACTCCTTACAAACCGCGAGCGAAGCGAGCGAAATTTTTCCGGGGGTACGCGCTTAGCTCAAAGACGTTTAAATTTTGTTTCTACTGCCAGTTTAAAGTCATCAAAAATAATTGCTTTGTTCATTCATTTTTTTTTCACCTATTGGACACTGCTGCGCTCGTTAAAGGGTATGCGATGATAGAAGCCAAATTCAGACAGCTGATGGGACATGCCTGTTCGCTCCCTGCTTCCGCATCTTTTAACGGCAAAAAGGCGGAT